CTGTCTTCTTCACTTGCTGTGCTTTGTAGTTTGTTTTGATAAGTTTGGATTGTTTCTGTTTATGTATATGGGTATGTATATGTATGTGTATATGTGTGTATGTATATATGTATATGTATAGATTATGGGAGATGTTGTTTTAATGTCCACATAATTTTATTTCATTTGTAATTTTTTTTTTTTTTATTTCATGTTTTGTTGTTGGACCCCAGGAAGAATAGCTGTAGCTTGCTACAGCTAATGGGGATCCTAAATAAACTAAACTAAACTAAACTATGTGAAAGAAACGTAGAGAATAATTGTATTTTGTCTGTTCTCACCTTTTCATGTCATTCAACATTTCAGCTTAGAGAATGACAAACAGTCTGATTTCAGTATAGCAGTAACATTTATTCCACCCAAGGAAAAGCTCTACATATGAAGCTACTATTGTCCCATTTAGCAGTTTCTACAAACCCAAGGTGAGTCCTTCCTGCATGTGTGACAGGTATACTTTAAGCAGTGAACACAGCGCTCAGTGCTGTGGTTCCTGTTGCAGAGATTGAACACCTGGCCTGCTTAGAATAATGGAAAAAACTAAAAAAAAAATTAGGTTTAGTACATTTTCCCAAAGTAAGAGTTGTAGTCTGACAGAGGCATAGCAAGAAGTTTTTATAAGGGTGGCCAGGCAATAACCAATGTACGTTGAGGGGTGGCCGAAGGTGGATAGACGCCAGAACCTCAGGATGAAGGGCTGGTTATTCTCCTGCAGCAGTGTGTCGCACTGAGCTTGACGCAGACATTTTTGATCTATGCTCAATTTTTAGCGTGGTCTGTGCTACACACTGTGGGTCTAGATACGGCCGAGGATGTGAGGAAGAGGGGCGAGTTTGTTCAACAACGGAGGGACATGAGGGCCAAAAAGAGCAGAGATCCAGGTGGAAAAAGGGTCCCAGCACTTTCGCATTCACTGCGACCGCTACACAGAGCACCTGGTTTCAGTCTTTAAGCTACACTGTTCCAACCGGATAATTAAGGAGCACAACATCCATGTTTTCTAAATGAAGACAAACTACAGCCTTTGCTAACAAATAGATGCATTTATAGTGGATACAATTCTTTCAGGTTTCAGTTCTGGGGCAAACATATTTTCCATTGTTAAGACTTATTTTTATCAATAATCCCTCTGCAAATAAATGAATGATTTAAAAATGCTTTACAAGTAAAAATATCTACATAAATTATTTAATATGTTTTTATTAAAATAGTTATTTATGTATGATTTCACTGAAGACTCTTAGATGAATTGCAGACATAATTTTCTCTTCCCCCCAAAAACACAAAATCTAGTTCTGAAAAGAGCACGAATTATGTACTAATCATTAATTTCAGTATATTTATGTGCATATATTTATAACCAAACACCTAGTCCCTATCTCTAGAAAAATGATCTAAAAATAAGTAAAACATTGTCAAATTAAGTGTATTTACCCTTAATTTGAGCTGGTAAATAAGACAATTAGCCGATTCCCGATGTATGAAAAATCTGGCAAAAACGCTGGCATAAGTTGGATCAGTTATGAGCAGGTTTTGTATAAGTTATGAGGATGCTGAAGCACGCTGGCACACTTCCACATACGGCATGTTGAGAAATTTTGAGCATATTGAAAATGTATTGACGTATGCCAGCGTATGCTCATACATGGGCCATAAGTTAAGATAGACCGCAATAAAACAGCAGTTAGGTTAATACCGCCATCAAAATGATCTTTTAATGCAGAGCGGGCGCCTCCGGGCGCATCGCTGCCGCCCTCAGGATGCCTGTGCATCATTTCCTGGGCATTAAGCTGCCGTGCATTATGCATAAATGAGGCCGTCGTTGGACAGAAGTGCTGGACTCGTTATCAATACTCTATCTTCACGCCCAAAATCCATAGAAAGTTCAGCGTCTGCCAGCATTTTAGGAGATTCTGGGACGTCAGGCAGACGCTGGATAAACCGGCATGGTGTGACAGGAGCTTATCCAGCTGGTTGCCCCCCCCCCTGTAAGTTATTCATCACATTCTGCAGAGCATCACTTACGGTCTATGACCACCCCCATCTTTGGCTGGTAGTCAGAGTCAGTGAGCTGCCAGAGAGCGAAGGCCTCCCTCGGTGTGTCCTGCAGCAGCCGGAAGGTGATGCTGATGGTGTGCTCTGGAGAGAAACCAGCAGGGTGGACTAACCTGGAAACGGAGGGAAGAAACAACAGAAACAGCAACATGCTGAGTTTTCTATCATCCAAGGAGCAGATCAGCTGTTAATCAGCCAGACAAACACAGGCTGAAACGCCTGAAGCAGCAGCCTGTTTTCCTAAAGTCTCACTTGGTGCTTTGTGTCAGCTGCACATCTCTGTACAGAGTGAAGGTGGGGAGGGTGTTAAAGACGAAGGGCTCGGCTGCCACCCCCTCCACCGATGAGTAGCCTCTCTGGGTCAGACCGAAGGCCTCCATCATGTTGTAACCTGACCAACACACCAATGAAAGCGTCAGACTCCGTAGAACATGTCTGTGTTCATGTGTGATGAGGTGGAGGAGGACGGTCACCTTTAACGATGTGGTTCTGGATGGTGACTTCAGGACAGACTGCAGGACAAGAGGACAGACAGATCCGAGACATTACCGGATAAATGATGGCGAGAAGATTTAATGACGGTTTAAAAAACAAACAGACTGAATGAAAGCTGCTCAGTGGGGCAGTGGGGAGCACTGCCGCCTTCAAGCAAGAAGTTCGATTCCCGGCCCGGGGTCTTTCTGCATAGAGTCTGCATGTTCTCCCTGAGCATGGTGGGTTCTCTCTGGGTACTCCGGCTCCCCCCACAGTCCAAAAACATGACTGTTAGGTTCAGTGGCTTCTCTAAATCCTCCTAAGGTGTGTGCGTGAATGTTTGTTTGTATCTGTGTGTAAAGCGTGACAGAAATGGATGAATGAAAGCAAACCTGTTTGCCTGGAACACACTGGTCTGTTTTTATCAAAGAATTGGTTTAAATGATTGGTGACTGGTTGCAGCATGACAGTCAGGCTCCGACAGCCCCAAACCTGGTGCTTAGTCCTTCTAGCAGCTGCTGAAGTCTTCATCAGATCTTTGACTGTCTGAAAGCACCATGGGAGTCACTGAAGTCTGGCTGGAAACCTCTGCACCTCCATCATCTCTGAACAACAGCTCCAGTGTATTCTCATTATCAGTTCGTATGAAATTGTACGAAAAGTTATGCACCGTAATTTTGTACGTTTTTGACGTTTTTTTCGTCGTATTTCATCGTATTTTGACATCTTGCCTCGAGACAAGATATCCTTGCGCATCTTACAATTCAATAACATAGAATTTAACATACAATTACCCTTAACCCTAAGATACCAAACAGCAAGCAACGTAGTTAGAGACATGAAGAAGTAATTATTGCACTGCTTTTCCCAGTTTTACGTCCGTCCACAGATCTGCTTTTTTCGTCTGTCTGGCTGCGCATGCGCACTGATCTGTTTTTTCTAGGAAAAACGTCAAAAACGTACGAAATACTGTGCATAACTTCCTCCTTTAACTTTGACCACATGTGGAACAAAGAGCAGCTCAAAGCAACCAGATCCTGCTTCAGTCCAGAGAAAAAGCTTTCATTTGTTCAACGCCTGAAAACTAAAATGTTCATCTAAAAACAAACGAACATTAAAATATTTACCTTCATTGTGGACAGGATACACCCGGGGGGGGAGCCTGGCTGGAGCTGGAGCTGTGAAAGGAACCAGTATGAACCGCTGCTGGAAATAAACAGCTTTAGATATAAAGTTAATGATCTGATGGGTTCATGTCAAAATATAAAAAATTCCCTTTCAGTCAAACAATTCTTTTCTAACTGCTTGTAAACAGATGCTGGTGTTTCCAGGATAATCTTAATTAGGGCTAAAACTAACAATTCTTTTAGTATTCGATTAATGTTAAATCGTTTTTTGATTAATCAATAAATAATTGGATGGCGAAATGTTCCTTAAAGATTTTATACAGAATCAAACCAGATGAAACTTTTCCACCTGTTTAGTTCTGAATGGAGCATATAGACAGCAGAATACATTTCTTTTTCATCTTTAATGTAAAACATTTATATATTTCTTTATAATTTAGGTATAATTCCTGCTCTAAGTGCGTCGCTCTGTCATCTAAAGGACATTTTACAGTCTCTATACTCAAGTTAATGATTTATCAATTACTAAACTATTTGATTATTTTAGTAATCGAATAATCTGATTAATTTGGAAAATAATAGAAACAAATTAATCTGGCTGGTTTAGGGATTTGTAATCCCACTTCTGCTGAGACATGAATCTGAAGCTATAGATTTGCTCTGGATTTGCTAAACTTTGAGTCACTTACTGCTTGATTGAAACCAGACTGCCAGTTTTATAAAGTTTGAGGGTGTGAATACTTCTGTGAAGCGCTGTGATTACTTCCCACCTGTAGGATGGAGAATAGAGACGGCGGCGCCCTCTGCAGGGCCGAGGAGGGCGTGCATGCTGATGCGGTACAGAGTCTGGGGCTCCAGGTGGCTGAAGCAGTAACTGCTGGTGGACCGGTCCACGGTTTGCTGCTTCGTTAGCTTGTCTGAACACAGAGCCAGACCTCACACTCATGTTCATGGCGGATAAAAAGGGAAACATGGCGGCAAAAGCTTCCAGAATTACCTTTAACAGACTGGATGACAACCCGGTACCCATCAACTGCAGAGACCGGCCTCCAGGACAGACAGATGCTGGACTGGTCCGATCGGACCACGCTGATGCTGCTCACACGCAGACTGGCTGCAGAGAACAGAGGAGGACTACAGATCAAACCAGGAGGGAAAGCCAGAGTTTCATTTAGCTACCAGCTCTGAATAAACCGCAGAACAGTGGAAATATTATTTGGAGTTTTCTGATCCGAGGCGGCGACTCCCTGATGGCTGCGGCTGAGCACCGCTCCTGACAACCTGCTAACTATACATGGGTCCAGTAGGTTAGTTTATGACCTCCACTGCCTGCTGGAGCTACGGTCATCAACTGTTTTTTCTGGACTCTAAATGTTTAAGTAGCTTTGGGCTCATGGCCCAGAGGCCCACAATGCAGCGGACATGCCAAGCAGCCAGACCGGAGGAGGAGCAGGTGAAGATGGCGTGACAGGGGGCAAAAATGCGGCTGTCGCATTGGGCTAACAGCGAAGCTAAAAGCGAACCCCTACAAATCGTCACTCCCTTCAATGCTGCTCTCCAATGTCCGCTGAACTAGAAAATAGATCCTCTGGAACTGGAACTCTCTTCAAAGAGGGAGTTTAGTGACTACTGCGCTGTCATCCTGACCGAGACATGGCTTAACTCATCAATACCAGACAACACCGTTAGCCTGGAGGGGCTCATATTTTACCACGCCAGTAGAAACAGCGAACTCAGTGGTAAGACCTGAGGAGGTGGGCTGTGTGTTTACATCAACAACTCCTGTAAAAAAGCTAGATTGGTCTCCAGCTTCCGCTCTCTGGACATCGAGCTTTAGACCGTTCACTGCAGACCGTTCCATCTGCAGAGAGAATTTACTGTTGTTAGCATCAGTGCTGTGTTCCCAGCGCTAAGGCTAAAGAGGCCATGAGTGTTCTCTATCAGACTCTCTGAGCTCCAATCTGCACCCAGGGCATTTCCATCATTGCTGGGGATTTTAACCAGGCTAAATGGAAGACTGTTCTCCCTCATATTTACCAACATGTGGACTTAGGGACAGAACACTCTGGACTCTAACATAAAAGACAAATGCAGAGCAGCCCCCACCTCGGCTCGTCAGACCACCTGTCTGCATGCTAACTCCTGCATAGCGGCCCCTGCTGATCAGAGCTAAACCTACAGTGAAGCAGGTAAGGGTGTGGACTGAGGGGGCCACGGAGAAACTCCAGGAGGGTTTTAAAAGTTCTGACTGGAACATGTTTAAAGCTGCAGCTACAGATGACAACAAATATGCCATGACTGTGTCAGCCTACATCAACAAATGCATCGATGCAGCTGAGGTGTTGAAGACTCTGAGGAGAGTCAATCCAAGGAAGGCCCCAGGACCCCACAGCATACCTGGGCAGGTGTATAAGGAGTGGTCAGATCAGCTGGCTGGTGTCCTCACAGACATCTTTAACACCTGGCTGGACCAATCCATAGTGCCATCATGCTTCCAGTCTGCCTCCATTATTCCAGTCCAAAGAAGCCTCAGGTCGCCTCCCTCAATGATTAGCGGCCTGTCGCTCTGACTCCCTAGCCTCGTGAGCCCATCCTGATCTCGTGAGCTTTCAAGGTTTCACTCGTTAATCAGTCTGGAGACTCTCCGTTGAAGAAAATTTGGAGCCGTTCACCAAACGAACGTCCAATCAGCGTTGGCTTTGAGGCGGGTTGAGGTGTGACGCAACGAGAAGCGCGACAGTTCAGTCTAAAGAACATGGCGGCTTCAGCCGATGAAACTATTGGCTGCTAGACTTCCTCACCAACAGACCTGTCAGTCCGGGTCGGACAGAACGCCTCTGATGTCATCAGTCTAAGCCCCTCCCCTCAGGGCTGCGTCCTGAGCCCCCTGCCGTTCACCCTGATGACACACGACTGCGTCCCCAGGTTCACCACCGATCACATGGTGAAGTTTGTAGACGACACCACGGTGGTGGGCCTCATCAGAGACGACAACGACCTGGACTACAGAGAGGAGGTGGAGCAGAGATAACAGCCTGATCCTGAAGGTGGAGAAGACCAAGGAGATCATGGTGGACTTCAGGAAGAAGCGGCCTAACCACGCTCCACTGCTCATCAACAGCTCAGCTGTAGAGGTGGTCAGCAGCACCACATTCATCACAGACACCCTCACCTGGACTGGAAACACCACCTCACTGGTCCAAAGGGCCCAGAAGCGCTTGGACTTCCTGCCCCCCCCATCCTCCCCACCTTCTCCAGAAGCACCATAGAGAGCGTTCTGAGCAGCTGTCTCACTGTGTGGTGTGGAGGCTGCAGCGCCTCAGACTGGAAGAAGGTGAGAACAGCAGAGAGGATCATGGGGGCTCCTCTTCCCTCCATTAAAGACATTTCATCCCAGCGCTGCGTGTCCCGAGAATAGGAAACAACTCTGTTTGTCCTACTGACTTAATGTTCAACTCAACGTTCTGCTGCTTTTGCACCATATTCATTTTTGCTCTGAACTTTTTCATATTAATGCCTTTTTGCACCATTATTTAAACTGTTTTTCTCCTACATTGTTCACATTCTGATCACTGCTGCACTTTATATTGCTAATGTTTATCTGCTCCAACTGCAAACTCATTTCACTGTTGTAAGCTGTATGCAATGAAATTTAGTTTGGTATACACTCTCTGTATACAGAATGAAAATAAAGTTGGTCTAAGTAAGGTTTAACCCCCCCCAAAAGCAGGGAGGTCCGTCCTCCATCTCCTCATCAGTGTGAGGCTCCTGAACTGAAGAGCGAGGGCACAGATTATTTTTCATTTTTTGTTTAAATCCGGAGAATTCTATTTATGAACTCATGGTAAACAAATTAATCTCACTATAATTTCTGATTACTGCTGAAGCCTTACACTCTTTGACATGATTGTTAAATCTAATCTAACCTGTTCTAATCTGTTCTAATCTATCTTTAGCTAATCTAATCTGTTCTAATCTAACCTGTTTTAATCTGTTCTAATCTAATCTGTTCTAATCTATCTTTACCTAATCTAATCTTTTCTAGTCTAATCTGTTCTAATCTAACCTGTTTTTATCTAAACTGTTCAAATCTCTTCTAATCAATCTTTTCTAGTCTAATCTGTCCCAATTCATTCTAATTTAACCGGTTCTTATCGAATCTGTTCCACTCTAATCTGTTGTAATCTATAGTAATTTAACCTTACCCAATCTAATCTCTTCAAGTCCAACCCATTCCAGTCTGAACTGTTCCAATCTAATCTGTTCCAATTTATTCTTATCTGACCTGTTTTAGTCTAATCTGTTGTAATCCTGTTTAATCCAATCAGAAGCTGTTCTCTGCAGCGTACCGGTTTTGCCCTGAGCCGAGCCGCTGCCTCCCTCTTGGTTGCGATACTCTGCGGTGACTAAGACGCTGTAACGTGTATCCGGCTGTAATGAGTCCAGCACCACCCGCTTCTGACCACCTGGGACCAACACCTGCAGACAACATAGCAGTCCTTCTAGACTCTAAATGCAGGACAGATCTCTGACACCTCAGGGTTTGATGGGTCTGGTCTCAGAGGAGCCACTCACAGTCCTGTCCGGGGTCTCGGCTCCCGTCAGGGGGGCGTAAGTCACACGATACTGGAGGACGTGAGCGTTCGGAGGCACCCAGCTCACCGCCATGCTGACTGCAGTTTCCTCTGAGATGGAGACGCTGGACGGGCCTCCGCCTGACACTGCAGCAACAGAAAACACATGACAGGTTCTCACTGCCTGCCCACGACACAAACACAAGAAATCCTTCTGACAAAAAAGCTGTTTGGAAAAACTGATTTATTCATCTGACAATGGTTAGAAGTCATGTATGTCCTCATGCATGGTGGTTTACTGTTAAAAAGTGTTCACAGCTGACTGTATCAGAAGCACTAATCAACAACAAGCTGTGCAGCGGAGACAATAAGACTTCATGGCACTGATCAGAGCAAACAGCCGCGGTTCTTCTGTCTTTTAAAGCAGTCTAGGTCTGAAGTGCTTCAGGTTCATTAAGGTTCAGTCTTTGGTGTTGTTTGTTTAGTAAAAGGAGTCACCACCTTGAAATCTGACTCTTCAGGTTAAAATGTGTGAGTGTTTGGCCACAGGTGATAAAACTGCAGAAAGTTGCTTGTTTTTGATATCAGCTCTTTGTTCATATGAGAAAAGCCCATGAGAGCACGCTCTCCAAAACACAAATCTATTGAAGTCATGTCAGGGAGGTTATATAAGCCCCGCCCATTTCTCCTCTACCGCCTACAGGTGTGACGTCAACTTGCTGCCATTACTAATCAACTGTGTGGAAAGTAAAGATGTGGAACCGTCCCTCTTAAATTCAGTGCTCTGATGTTGGCTGCAAACGGGGGCTATTCTAACAATCAGGGTCTGCCTGCAGAGCACTAACTAACTGCTTTACCTTTTTAATTAATATGTAAGCCCCTGGGAATGTTGCTAACATTACATCTCCATGCAGTGTACAGATTTCTATCACATACTGACTTTTCTTTGATAATCTGCTATGTGGACGTCTGTAAACTGCTCTACATGTTTTTATTTTTCTGTGCTTTTGTTTGGGTTACAGTATTGTGATTTCCCACTGCTGTGAGGAAGGCCTGTATTCCACCATGTCGGTCTTTCTGGTTCCGACTGGCTGAATCTGAAAGCCTCAGTCGTATCGGCCCGTGTAAAACTGTGCCAGCCCCCATAGCGGCTCTGTTCTTCCTGAACAACCAACACCTTGGTAACAGAAATGCAGAGTTCATGAATGCGCAGACACACGAGCCAGACTATCAGGGAAAAAAGGAAAGGGTTAATAAGGGGGGGGGGTTAAATCAGCTCTATTTAGAAATGATTCTCCTAATGATTCAACACGAATTTGATAAAAATGTCAGAATGATTATTTATGCAAAATACCAAATGATGCTCTTTTAATGGATCAATAAGTTATACAGACATGAAAGGATGAACCAGTCTTTAACCATCACATATCTTTAAAGACAGAAAAAATATTTTTAGCAGCAGAGATTATCAGACCTTCAGCTTAATGATGAACGGATAAAGGATCAGATTCCTAAAGTTCTGAGACTTTCTCTGCTTTGGTCCTTTAGAGCATTTGGTCGTAGCATGAATCTCCCTCTCAGTCAAAAGTATTGACGATTGCCCAGAAGTAAAACGTAAATAACTACAGAAAAGGATCAGGGCCACTGAAAAGAAAAAAAAAGTTAACTGATTTTTTATCTGGAGTTCAAGATGTAAAAAAGTTAGAATTCTGATTTTGTATTTACCATATTAAAAATAAAATAAATAATCAGTTAGTTATTAAATTGTTTTTACAGTGTCCCTAATCCTCTTCCCTGAATAATATTATAAAATTAAAAGTATTTTCTAAAATGTTTTTAACCTGAGCATTTAATCTTTGGCATTTTATTTATCCAGACTGTTCTCTACATCCGGTCTGTTCTCTACATCCGGTCTGTTCTCTACATCCGGACTGTTCTCTACATCCGGT